AGTAACGAGTAGGTTACTACGTTACTAGAAAAACTAACACATTCCTGGTAATGCTGTTACTTGTAACATGTTACCGCCAAGACTGCACAACGGACAAAGCGTTACTGCTTGTCATGCCTTGTGGTCGTTGAGGTGGAAAAAATATCATACCTTTACTTCAAGATGCCGTGTGTATTTATCTAACTAATAAATACACTTCCGCAGACCCACAGTCTGCAGAGAAGGCTAGAAGCGTGAGCGCATAGCGTTGGGAGCTGCTCTGCCGCCGAGATGTGCCCCCCTAGAGCAAGCTGCTCGCGCTTGTAGCTTTTCCTGCGGTACATAATAAGGTGAAACAGAGTATAGTTTAATCAGAAGATAACAAAAGCTGGCGTGTCCCCCACAAAACGCGCGCAGCAGGTGCGGCGTAGCTGGTTTGGCTGCCCCCCCCCCCCCCCCCCCCCCCCCCCCCCCTCCTCTCATGGTGAGCCTCCTCGCGATAACTTTTCAAGCTCCTATTTTCGAAGGACAAAGATTGGCCGATATAAATCGACAAAAATTGGCGTTCTACTTTCCGAAAAATAATTATTGCAACAATTGTTGGCGGTACATGCGCAGGCAGAAACAAAGCGACCTTAGAAATACTTAGCACTCCTAAACAAATTCTACCCCACTCGATACGCTTAAGTATGCCCACATTGCGAGGGGAACCCCTCCTTGTATCACGTAACATGGTCATGTCAATCCAATTCCTCTCTCAAATCCAACCCAATAAGGTGAACCTTTGAGACCTGATAAGCTGCGCTGCTTAGCTCATCGCTCGAAGACCAGCGTAGCCTGCTCGAGCGGGCGAAGACGGCAGGGACCAGCACTGGATCCCTGGACTTGGGGCCCCAACCGGACACAAGTCCCTTTTTTGAATAAAGTTTACTACTACTACGACGGCATTCATGCTTCCGCAGCAGCCTAGTAAAGTGTATAGGCCAAAGAATGGCGGCAAGCTCATTTGCTTTCAGCCAGGAAGGGAAAGCTAGGATCTTTTCATGCAAGCGCTTAAGCGCAGCCTCCTTTTGTTTGGCGAAGAGGCCAGTTCCTTAGCCGCGCATCCACGGTCGGCACCCTGGAGCGGTCTCGGCGCTTTCAAAGACCCACTAGCTCGCAAAAAGGCAACGAGGAAGACGCTATCCGTACTCTTAATTTATTACCTTTCTGCGAAGCTCCAGCCTGACATTTGGACAAAAAGGGTTGCCGTTCTTAGCTACACTTATTGTAACTTGTTTTAGCCCAAACTAATAAACTAGGTTTATAAATTCCTCGGTGAAAGTATCTTGCAATTAATGTAATTAAATTACGATAATTGAGTTACTACCCTATACTCCGTTTCACCTTATGTTGTACCGCAAAGAAGGCTAGAAGCGCGAGCCGTGAGCGTTTGGAGCTGCTTTTAACGCTCGAGAGCTTGTGCCGCCGTGATGTGCCCAGAGCAAGGAGCTCGCGCTTGTAGCGTTTCCTGCGGTACATCATAAGGTGAAACAGAGTATAGTATGCCTCTCATGCACCTGCAGACTTTGCTTCTTGATCGCCTCTGCTTTCTCGCTACAGCCGCCGTATTATGAACAATAAGATAAATTTTGCGATTACTGTATATCGTTTCAGCTTAGCCCTGACGAAACCGACACTACAAGGTATTGGGACCAATCAAGCAGCACCAAAAGTGCGAGTCACGACGCCTTTTCTGTTTATGATTGATTGGTGAAGCGTTATAGCACACGTAAACAAACGTGACGAACACCATGATGGTGCAGTTTTGGTGCTGTCTGATTAATTTCATCAGTTTGTAGCCTCGGCTTCGTCTGGAGGTAAGGTGAAACGAACTATGGAGAGTAACAAAACCGTTATTTACGTATATATTATATTTGTGAATATAACCGATAATATGGAGATGTGGGAACCGTGCTTATCGAATGGAATATTTGACATTTTATATTTGACGCAGTTACGATAAATGATCAAGTGTACACGTGGGACTAATGCAGGAGAAACATCGTACACTTGCACGGAAATATTTCCCCGAAATGACAGGCCGCGAAAGTTGTTGCAAAGAAAACATCATAAAAGCATCAAATGTAAGTGCAAAAACCTGTTAAATAAAATGAAAAAAAAAAAAACAAGAAAAAACCGAGGAAACTTGAGGTGATGGTAATGACTCATTAACTGGACGTTGTGCTATTAACGGAAACCTGGCTTTCTATGAGCATTAATGTCAACGAATTCAAGTTACCAGACTCTGCCGAAAGCATTCGACAGAGTCTCCCATACTAAGTTTCTTTTCGAACGGACTAGTTTCCTAGGTGACGGCCCACTTGTTGGTTGGAGTAAAAGGTATCGGAGCGGTCGATCTTAACACGTAGATATTAACGGGGACAAGTCAACTAATAAACATGTGTGTTCCGGCGTCCCTCAGGGATCAGTACTTTCTCCCCTTTTTCTCCTGCTGTATATTAATGGCGTAAAAGTTATAGACGTAAATATTAAAATAGTTTGCTGATGGCTGTATTATCTATTCTGAAATAGCAAATCCGTCAGAACAGATAAAGCTCCTGAGTGCGTTAAATAAAATTTGTGAATGGTGTAACGACTGGCAAATGCGTATCAACACGGATAAAGACGTTTGCATGACTGTAAGAAAAAAAACAACACACACACACTTTATTGCTCGTACGAGACCAACGGAGAATTATAGATAACGTCGACGAAGACAAGTACGTGACTCACCCGCAGAGATTAGAGCTAGGCTGTCAAGGTTAAAATTAATTTACCGAATAATAAACACCACTCCAAAAATAGAAAAACAAACGACCTAATTTTAGACGAAAGGCGCAAAACCCGATCAAACCATGGGAAATTATTTAAATAATTCCAGACTAAAAATTATTGGTTCTAATTTTCGTTTTTTCCAATTGCCGTTGAGGAATGGATTAGTTTGCCTCAGCACGTTGTTTACGCTAGCGCGCTCTCGCGTTTTCTCAGCGATGTTGAACTGCTTTAATGTAGCAAAACCATTGTTTTCCTTTGTTTCTTCTTCACCGTTTTTTAATCCTGTATCTTGTTTGCGGTTGTGCGTCTGTGATTCTAACCAAAAAATCCTAAAATAAGGATTAGTAGCATTGACAAATAAAAAAAATTACCAAAAATTACCATTACAAAGTCAAAATATTTTCAGTGCCGGGATGCAAATTCCGTGTCTTATATATATATATATATATATACCGGGTGTTTCTGCGAAGACTTTCAAAAATCCTAAAAATTAAAGCGTAAAAAAAAAAAAAAAAAGCTCTCTTCGGGAACAAACTACCAGCCACGGCGGAGGTCAGGAATTGCCAAAAACATAGTAATTAGCCAACTAATTAATTAAAATTTGTTAATTAACTTTTTAATTAGTGGAAATAGACATATGGTTCTATTTAGAAAGTTGCTGACCGTTCTCGAAAACCACTAAATCAGTCATTTTCAAAAAGACTTTCGGCGCGTGAGAAGCGTAGTATTGTACTAAAGTTACCACTCGTGGAGCAGGTACAAGGCTGGGGCTAGATAAGAGACGGAAAAATCGCGCGGGCGCCTTATCGCAACCGCTAGCTTTGTACCTGCTCAAAGAGCGGTAACTTTAGTGCACTACTACGCTTCTCACGCGCTCAAAGTCTTTCTGAAAACGACTGATTTAGTGGTTTTCAATAACACTCAGCAACTTTCTAATTGGAACCATATGTCTATTTCCCCTAATTAAAAAGTTAATTAACAAATTTTAATTAATTAGCTGGCTAATTAGTGTGTTTTTGGCAATCCCTGACGTCCGCCGTGGCTGGTAGTTTGTTCCCGAAGACAGTTTCTTCTTTTTTCAAACGCCCTAATTTTTAGGATTTCTGAAAGTCTTCGCAAAAACACCCGGTATATATATATATATATATATATATATATTAAAAAAAAGAAAACATCTATTAGATTGTTGAATTTTGGTTCCATCACTTCTGTGTAGAAATGATTGATAGATATTTTAAATATGAAGTACTCTACACAATCGCTACTATAGTCCGTTGCAATTCAAGAAGGCAGGGCGAGGGTAAGACGGGCCGGGGAGGAGGACGCAGGCGGAAGGCTAAAGAGAGAAGGAGGTCTCCCTCTCTTCTCCAGCGTTCCCGTCTGCTTCCTCCTCCCCGGCCCGTCTTACCCTCGACCTACCCTCTTGAATTGCAACGGACTATAGCTCATGAGTCTTTTCTATAATATTAAGATTATGGAGGGAAGATAAAGCCTTTTCATACACGAATGCTGTACGTCACTTGTCTTATGAATCGAGGAGGGAGCGCTGCGGTGCTCACAGGTAATGATATGGTATCATTTGTCTTTATAAAACGGAGGCGAAGCGTATCATCAAATAGCGTCTTTTACCGGCTAGACAAGGGCCATTTCTCCAGATGTTCTCACCTTTCACATTCTCTGCGTTCTCATTTTAAAACAAGTTTTGTATGCACAGTTTGTTTTTCTAGGGTCCGGGCGAGCTTGTTATCAATAGGAATCCGGCGTTCAAGAGTGGAGCAAAGAAGGACACACACGCAAACATTTCCATCTCGAGTTTGAGGTTTATCTGTGTTTTGTTTTTTGTTACTTTTTCAATATGTTGTTCTTTTCAACATTTCGCCGAAAAAAATGAGACATTTATCCCCTTGCTTTTATGTTGACTCGAACACTCCTCATGAGGTGGGTATGATGATTTATTTGCCTTAGATTAAATGTCATAATTCTACGCAGTACTCGAAACAAACACTGCTGCCTATACTAACTTAGACAAAAAAAGTCATGAAAGGTGAAACCCAGGGTTTTACTTTGCGGTTTGAAAAACATTTAATCGATGCAATGAGCGCAAATTTTAATTAATCAAATATTATAGGACATTAATTCCTAGGTAAGCGCAGAACGCGCCTCGACTAATGCGACCGCGTACGGCTCGGAACGCACTGGGGCGCTCATTCCGGAAGGCAGACCGTGCACACGATTGCCTTGGTCACGGAGTACGGGTCGCAGTTGGAAGCCGGGCGGCGGTCCTCGAGGTAGCCGGACCTGTCCTGGTGCACCTGCCTCGGGATGCGGACGCTGGCCCCGCGGTCGGCCACGCCGGCCGAGAAGTCGTCGATGCTCGACGTCTCGTGCTGACCGGTGAGCCGGCGCTGGTTGTCGCGGCCTCCGCGGGGGTCGTAGGCACGTATGTGCTCGCGGTGCTTCAGGGCCAGCTTCTCGATGGCGCGCTCGATGTGCGCGATGCCGGCGCCCGGCTGGCGCATGGGCAGGGTGCTGAAGTTGGTGTGGGCCCCGGCGCCGTTCCAGTCTCCGGACACCGGCTTGGGGTCCAGGGTGACCAGGAGGCCGAAGTCCTCGGCCACCCGCTGCAGGATGAAACGGGCCATCCACAGCTGGTCGCCGGCCGAGATGCCTTCGCAGGGGCCCACCTGCATGCGCGTTCTTCGTCAAATTAAAATTATTAGTTCTTCGCGGTGTGCATCTTGAAAAGAGCTATTGGCGACGTGCGCGATCGAAAGCGTCGCTGTGGTCGGCCAGCCATGATTGGCCGAATGCTGACTATGACGTAAGGAAAGGATTTCTCATTGACGAAAATAAGAAGAATGTAAGAGCTTGAATTTTGATGGTGTTGACAGTGTCGCTTTGGGGGGGCAATGATTTCAAGCTTCCACCATGCTCATTGCAAACACCATCGACCTTGTTGTTCGCAAGGTAATGACGTCACGAAAGGAAGCCACGGGAGGGCGCCACCAAAACATCTCGCCGCTATTACTCTGTTTCATACTTAGCGTGCAACGCTGCCAAAGCTACTGGCGCGACCGCGTGGCTTCATCTATGGCTTTGTTTGCGCGAGAATGGGTGCAAATGATCAACGAGATGAAGCCCCACGCTCGCGACAGTAGCTTTGACAGCGTCGCACGCTAAGTATGAAACAGAGTAGAGTCACGTGAGGAACTTAGCTAATGCCGGTTAGTATGCTCTGTTTCGCGCTAACTGCGAGAAAAACCGAAGCGGTAGGCACCAATAGGTTTACCGAAAATACAATTAGTGCGCAAGCGAGCAGTTGGAAGTTTACTATGGTGAGATTAACACCAGACTGGGGTAAGAAGAGGAAAAATTATAGGTAGTCGAAAGAAGAAATAGGGACAGAAAATGTCTGTCCTGAGCGGCGCTTTCATTTCACAAGCGCGCTTACGTATCGTTCTCTCTAAAAAGCATTGCGCTCTCTCTTGTATCGTGTTTTCGGTGAGTTTTTGTCTGGACTCACGAGTGAAAGCGGTGAACGTTTTCCCAAATCTGAGAAATATCTGGTGAGCTATTGTCCGGGATAAAATATAGATACCTGCAGTGCGCATCATGGACAAGCATAGTTTGGGTGCAAACTAGATAAATACAATAATTTTGTCTCAATATTATAAACAAGTGCTTTCTAAAAACGATACGCCGGGGGAAAAACAAGGAATTGTGAAACGATTGGGTTGCGGAGCACACCTTCTCGCTTCAGTTACCTATACGGTCGACAACCCGGACAAATATGGCGACCGAGAACAGGTCGCGTCGGGCCGGTCGGGCAGGTTGAACGGGAGGCGCGTTTAATTTATCAGGGCCACCTACATGACCGCTGATATGACGTGAATGCTAGCCATGCACTGAGGAGGTCATTTCATAATCATGTCCGGGGCGCGGAGAAAGAGTGCATCAGTTCTAAAAGCAGGGAATGTGAAGAGAAATACGCGCCTGAAACTCCCATTGCGCAGGCATGACTTCGGCGTTGGTCCCGGCAACTCGCACGCCGGCGAAGAGGCAGGCCCTGTAGTGGGCCTCGACTACCTCTCGGCCAAAGGCGCGGTCCGGCCCCACGCCGCAGTAGTAGGGACCCTGGGGTCCCGGGAAGCCCTGCTTGGGCCACCGGTACGGACGCCCGTCTATGTCCAGCAGCGTGTACTCCTGCTCGATACCGAACCAGGGCTTGAGCTCCCTCACCCGGTCCATGGCTTCCTTGCAGGCATGCCGCTTGTTGGACTCTGCGTCGACCCATCGGTTCACTCAGATAGTCTCCGATAAGAAAAGCACGAAAAGCCGCTCCCAAGAACCCCTCTGCTCGCTATAATTTGTAATTTCCTACTCTCCACACGCCTCGTTTCCAGCACTCGCTCTGCAGAAAAAAAAACAAAAAAAAACACACACACACAAAAAAAAAAAAAAAAGGCGGAGGGTTTTGGGGAAGGAGCTTGTCCTGCGTTTCTTAACACGCGACCGAATATCAACCCTTTTCAAAAATTCGTCTGGCAACTTCGATTACTATCATCATCATCGTCTGAGTGCATCTGTCGCATGCTGATGGCGGCCATCGGGTGGTTCATGAAGGAAGAAGTTGAAGGCATGCATCGAAGCGAGGAGCACAAAGCCTGAGACTTTGTGATGTTTGCAGATCGCCATGCTGAATTCGCGCCTGTTAATCCCTTGAAACACACTGGGCTCTCAGTCCCCTTGACATGATGAGTTTTATCAGGGGCTTTGGCCAAGTCAGCAACTTGTACAGAACGGCAGCGTTCTTGCCACCGTCAAAAGAGAAACGAATCGAGAAAAACATGTATGGTAAAGAACACGTTCCTGTCTGCTGCTGATGTACAATATTGACGGAGTCCCGACGAAATACCTTTTTACCGCCATGAGCATGAGAAGAACTTTTTTGATTTTGGAACCACTGGATGGCATTGAATTGTGGAAAGAGTACTGAGGGCCGCGTACCGTGCGGGGTGTGGTCGTGCTTGTACGTCTCGCAGAGGACCAGCTTGTTGGGGTCTCCGAGGAAAGGATCCCGGAACAGCGCTACAGGGTACAGGTGGACGTCGGAGTTGGAGCCGTCCGCCTGGCCCGTGCTCGAACCGTCGAAATTCCAAATCGGAAGCTCTGCACAGCCACCCATGCATCGCTGTTAACTTTTAATACTTTTAGTTCTACTCGTAATGCCCGAATTAGCATAAAATGTTTACCTCCGTCCAGGCATGAGCAAAATACATGCAAATATGTATCGAAATACAAATACAAAATACTTCGTCAAAAATGTATTTAATTACAAATCTAATTACATTTCCAAAAAAGCATTTAAATACAAGATACAAATACAACCAAATCTATTTGGTCTCCTCCAAATACTTTTCCAAATACATTTCTCAAAATTTGCGTCAGCGACTTCAGGGCACCTTTAACGGGTTTCTGGGTATCCCTTTTTAATTTTGCATCGCACACTCGGAAGTTAGTGTACGAGGCTCTAGTAACGTAATAAAAATATAATCACAAAAACTGTAATCAGCTTGGACGTTATAGGTGAAAAAAATAAAGAGCTTCAAGCAGCTTTTTTTTTGTCGATTACATTTTGGTATAGAGTCTGTAGACCAACAAAGAACCGAGACGACCAAGACGCGCAGCACTAGCTAAAGAATTTTTTATTGTTGCAACTCTCATCAGTTACGAAAATCTGGACGACCCGCGCATTTAGAACATTCCAGGCAAAAGTATGGATGCAAATCAGGCTGGAAAGCATCACAAGTTGTCACAGGCACTTATTTAGCCTGTGTGCCTGTGAACGTCGATTTCGTCACTATACTTGCCCTGGACTAGCACAGTAATCACAGAGTCACTAAACGCTTGTGCTTGATTGAGAGACACTGCATTCGGTGCAGAACGCAGTTTTCTCCCTGCTCTGGAAAGTGACAATAAATTTGACAAATGTATTTTCGCCCACAAAATTGTATTTAATTACAATTGTATTTGAAATACCCACGTTTTGGTATTTAAATACGCACGTCAAATACATTACCCAATTTGTAATTAAATACAAATGCAAAATACACAAAGTATTTAAAATACGTATTTCAAATACTTGTATTTGTAATACTGCCTATCCCTGCCTCCGTCAGTATTTTTATGTGTGTACACGTATTGTTAGAGTGTTAGATGTCTTGTTTTTGTTGGTATGTACCACCGGAAAGGGCATGTAGCTGTTAGCGAGAATTACAAAGAAACAAACAAACAAACAAACAAATATTTGCGTTTAACTTTTCCGTTTGATGTACCCGACCTTAAACAGCGCTCTGGTTCCTTTTCCAGCGGCAAGGATCAAAGAGGAGTGCCCTAATTGCATCTTACGAGCAGACACATAGGAGTTCGAAATCGAAAGGAACACAAAACAGTATGCATAATATATTTATAGAGGTATATCGCGGTTTATGAATACAGCTATGAACTTGCTTCATAATGAGCCTGAAAAATTGGCGCCTGCACATAATGAGATATCAGACATTGACCGAGTGTGTATTTCAGTGGGGCGTTCATAAATTTTTAAGGTCTATCTCGCTTTTTGGTGTTCGTGGCTGGCAATCGACTGGTGTGAACGTGTCTGCGCAATTCTCCGCACTTCAAAGTCGAAACTAGAAAAAAAAAAAACTGGAAAAAAAAACTATTTTTTTTTTAGATTATAAAGAAACTTGCACTATGCACTCGGAGGAGCACACCAAACGGAACTTGTCGGTACCAATTTGTTGCCAGATCTGTGAGATTTTATTGATTTATCACCCATTCCTGTCAACCGACGACGCCAAAGAAGTAGGCATGTCTACGAGATGGGCTTCTTTGCCCCGCGATAACAGAGCCACCAAGCCGCTTCGGGGCCGCCTGTCGTGCGCACCCAACAGGTGTAGCCGCTACAGGCAGTGCCGGACATGCATATATATATATATATATGGGGAGTGAAGTAAGGCTGAGAAGTACAGCCGTAGGATTATTGAGAATGATGAGGGAAGAGGGGGATTATTGATTTTATTGCTTTAAGTTAGGAAATGGAAAAGGATGATGGCGAAAAATTGATAAGACAATCCCGTCCACTGGTTTTGGAGGACTCAATTCTTGGCCAGCTCTCTGTGTACTGTTAACGACGAAAATAATACCTGGAGAAGGGGAACAAGAGGGACAAAGGACAAACATAAATCTCCAAACACAGCTAGGTGACTGGTGAGCGACCGAAAAAATCCGCCTGGTCCGGGTATCGAACTCGGGACCTCTCCATTACAGGTGGAGCGCTCTACCAACTGAGCTAACCCGGGGTTAGACGTCAGTAGAGCAAACGGGTTTTATCAGCTGCCACCAGTCTAACACCAACAAGGGTGAAGCTTGCGATTTAAGGTTACAAAACCCGTCTGCTCTACTGACGTCTAACCCCTGGTTAGCTCAGTTGGTAGAGCGCTCCACCTGTAATGGAGAGGTCCCGGGTTCGATACCCGGACCAGGCGGATTTTTTCGGTCGCGCACCAGTCACCTAGCTGTGTTTGGAGATTGGTGTTTGTCCTTTGTCCCTCATGTTCCCCTTCTCCAGGGATTATTTTCGTCATTCTTGTCCAGCTCGTTTGCACCTTTGCATTTTAATTGAACTATAATCTGTGTACTGTTAGTTTCAAATTAGCTTAACTTGATAGACGCCGGCCATTTGATGAATTAAGGGTCCAAGCTAGTTCCGAGCTGCAGTAGCAACGTAGGACGTTATTTCAACTTGCAAATGTCTTCGATGCAATGAATTCAATAATCAGTCTCTACCCTCTTCCTTCACATTATATATACATGGCGTTTCTGCAAAAGCTTTAAAAAATCTCTAAAAATAAGCTGTTCGAGATAAAACGAAGCTTTGCAGGGAAAAACTACCTGCCTTGGAGGACGTCGAGAGTCACACAAACATACTGATTTGCGAAATAATTAACTAAGTTTACTAATTAATTTTTTAGTGGAAATACATATAGGGCTCCACTGCGAAACTTGCTATACATAATTGAAAGCAAGTAAATAAACTTTTTTTAGAAGAGTATAATGCAGGTGCAGCCTTTTATGGCGTTCGGTAGAGGTGCTCAATTTAGATGCGTTTCCAGGTTTCGGTTTCTTATCGAAGCGCATTTCTGCTGCCGCGGTCTTGCCCCCCAGGTAGCTTGCATGATGCACAAGGTTCGCGCTTTGGCATATTTGATGACTTGATGCCGCTTCCAAATCACGGGGCTTCACTGAAGGCACCTGACTCTGCTCTGACCTAGGGACTCGCGGATTGCGGGGTTACAGGGCAGGTTCTTATCACTGGATTGGCTGCATTGGTTGTGGAATCGGTTGTTATCACTCTGCATTTGAAAGTGAAGCGCGTTGCGCGGCGGCGAGACATTGCACATGGCCAATTGCAGCACTACGTCCTGCATTCATCGCCTCTCATCGGTCATATATATATATATATATATATATATATATATATATATATATATATATATATATATTTTGTGTGGTGCAGAAGACAGAAATTTTACACAGACCATTATCTGGCAAAGCGGCAAAACTGACCTCCGCGAGTCGCCGTTCGTACAAGCTCGTGAAAATTAGGGATGCCGCGAACGTTTTTCGAATCGAAGTTTTGATGATCGAATCAAAGTTTCGATGATCAAATCAAGCGGTTCGAAAGGTTCGAAAGATTTCGATTTTTCGAATTGTCTATGTAGGAGCCCGCAACGATGGCCGCAGCACGGAGCTCGGGTCACGAGCTCCGTGACGCGGGTCACGCGCAAATTAAAAACGTGCGGGCAGTCGGAGCCCGAGCACCAATCGATTCGGTCGTGTGGTCGTGCTCCCCATAGTCTACATCGTAAAATTCGACGGAAGTCGAGTTTTCGAACTTGTTAAGCTAAGAAGTTCGGCGCTTTTCGAACCGTCGAACTTACGACGCTAAAAAATTCGATCTTTTCGTACTTTCGAACTTATTGCGCTGCAAAGTCCGATGCTTGTCGAACTTCCAAACTTGACTGACCAAAAAATTCCATGAATTTCGAACTTTCGAACTTATTTATCAAGAGAATTCTAAAGGTTTCGAACTTTCGAATCCTGAAAAGTCAGAAGTTCGACGAACTTCGACCTTTTAGAGTAAAAGTTCGACGTTCGTCGAACTTCGAAAGACCAGCGGACGGTTTCATTTGAATTCAAGAAGTAAGGTACATTCGTAATTTTTTTTTTTTTTAACTTTTACACGCGGTGCTGCGTTCCTTACGAAAGACAATGCCGTTGGTTTCAATGTTCTGGCGTGCTTAGTTTTAAAGAAATGAATTCCCGAAGGGGCGAGGAAGGACGACGGGTTTTTGACGATTATCGTTTGTGCCAGATTTGAAGGACGCTGTAGCCGAAGCTATTTGTGGTAAAGATGTTATACTTTTTTTTAAGAATGATCTATGTATAGCCTAGGTAAGTGCCGTGTTAAGATGGGATTATTGTTATTCAACGTGAGTTTCGAAGAAATGTCCAAACATGTATCTACATGCAATTATGCCCTAAACTTGATATTTATTTTCGTCTAAGTTGTTTGAGGTATCGCATTTAAATTAACACCACAGACAGTGCATATCATTGCCATCTGCAGATTACAAAATAATGTATTTATTGTTTTTTCACGTTAAGGAATAAATTATTTCATGGAAGAAGATTTCTAATAGTGTTCAAGTTCAGCACGTCATGAAAAGAAAACTTTTTTTTTTTTCGCATCACGTTCCTGGGACGTGTTTCTTTCAGCCTGTACACCTTTTGGTAAAAGAAACTTGTTTCGAAGTTCTGAACCTCTGAATATGCAAGAATACAACCCTTCCGGCGAATTCTTGAGTTTTTTTTTTTTTTCTCCAGCTTTTTATCCCCGCATTCATTTATTTTTCCTTTTCTTTTTTTTACTATTGGCACAGGTATTTAGGTCGAAAAGACATAACTTTGAACTTCCGAACCACTAAGCACGTAACGAGTAGTGCCTTCTGACAACGAGTTTCTACCAATGACCATCTACGCAATCTTTTATGCAGTGAAGAGCGACAGTAGCTATACATATGCATAAATAATTTCAAATTAAAATA